CACCCTTGCAGAATGCTAGGATTACAGGCATGCACCACCACACTTGGCTAGTCGTTGGTGTTTTGTTGAGGGTTGCACTGAATCTATAGCTCACTTTGGGCAGTGTGGACATTTTAACAATATGAGTTCTTCCAGTCCAGGAACACGGGCGGTCTCCTCTTCTTTTTGAATCTTCTTCAATTCTTTCACTGGTGATTTGTAAAGTTTAGTGTAAAGATCTTCCAGTTCCCTGGCTAAATTTGGTCCTAGGTGTTTTGTTTCTTTGTAGCTATTGTGAATGGGACTGCTCTCATGATTTCTTTCTCAACAAATCTGCCACTTGTGAATAAAAAAGCAACTGGTTTTTGTATGTCAATTTTGTATCCTGCCAATTTACCAGATTCATTCATCCTTTCTTGTCTTTTGGTGCAGCCTTCCTGTATACAGCATTTTATCTATACACTTGGCTCCCTTCCTTCTTCTATTCATGCCTTTCCTATCTCTCCAGCCTGATTGCTCTACATCAAGCACTACATTGAATAAGAGTCACATTTCTAGTGTTCTTTGTGTTGAGGGTTACAGATCCGTTAGAGTAAGAAGTTCTGTCACTACTGTAGAGATCTCTTTGGTTAGTGGCTATCATTTTGTGCTGTGACTTTGACTTTGGGTCATTTTGATTCTCAAGCGCCTGTTCACCTTATTCAATGTATTTGTTAGGCTCAGTCCCTGTCAGTCTGCTCCTCGTATCCACTCTAGATACAAAGAACGAACCTTGTATCTGTACCAAAGCTTCTCTCTGCACCATTCCTCTCTGGCTTTCTGTAGCCCGCCAGTCTTCCACCAATGCATTCCCCTCCAGCTTTCTCCTGGATTGTGTGCAGCGGCTTCTGCCTGGTCTCTGCCTCTAGGAATATATCAGCCAGTGCTCACTAGAGGAACAGATTTGATGCAAGATATACAAACATATAAGAATTTACAAAATTGGCTTGTAATGGCCGCCCACAGAGTCAAGGGTGGTAAGAGTGCAGATGGTCTGTCTGCGCTGGAGATCCAAAAGATCCAGTCGAAGGCCTGGAGCCCACTGTAGTGTCCCGTGTAAGTCCTTATCAGGAAGGATCTGTGCTGGAGCTGAAGAGTCTGTACTGAAAGCGAGGGGAGGATGTCCAAGGTGAAGGTAAAGACCCGAGCTCCTCTGAAGAAACAGAAGCGAGCCTTCTTTCTTTACTTCCCTTTCAACCATTCTGGTGAGAATTTCTCCCTAGGGTGGGTCTTTCACACACAGAACTAGGTTGAGTGCATTTAGTTGGGTGGTTTCTTATTCAGCTTGACACAATCAGCTAATTATCACAGCAGGACAAGTTGGGAATCATCTTTATTCCACTTACTGAGATTTCATTCACAAGATTTCTGTGTGGTTCTCTTTCAAAATCTCCCTTTGCTGAACTTCCCATTCATATCCTGTACTGTCTTCCTAATTTTATTTAGCAGTTTGTGTATGATCTCTTACATTTTGTTGAGCTTTTAAAAATCCCTTTAAATTATTTACTGGGCATTTCATTCCTGTCAATTTTCTTGGGGTCTGTTGCTAGAGTTATTATGATCCTTTGGAGGCATCGTGTTTCTGTTCTTTTATATTTCTTGTGCTTCTATGCAGATTTTTGTGTCTGATGTCTCAGGTATCTCAAACTCATGGGTGACCTTTTGCTTTGTTTTGGTACTGGGGATCGAACTTGGGTCCTTGCACTTGCGAGGCAGGCGGCAGAACCACTGAGCTGAATCCCTGGCCCATGGGTGACCTGTGACCT